CCCGCCCAGGATCCCACGCAGAGTGGCCGCCCTGCGGTTCACACCGGGCACTCAGTCTCCACCGTCCATGCTGTCAACTAGCGCGCAGAATTTCAAACGCGAAAACTGCACATGATTTTCCATTAAGACTCAATGGAGACGCGATCGAGTTTCACTGAGTGGTTTGTTTTAGGGAAACCTGCGGTGTCAAAAGTCTTAAAGCGAAGCAGAGCTACGGAAAACCAGAAGCCATTCTTAGGACCCAATTTGCCAAATACCATACCAAAAGCTAGGAAACGGAATCTACTCAGTATGCAGGTGGAGGCCTCCCTCAATTTTTCTGGTTGCTTTTGAAGAATATCGCTCCGGGCTTCGGTTCCCTAGATGGGGAAAGCTGTGATCGTAACTAGCCCTATAACGCGCTCCTCTTGGCTCTTCTCCCCTGCTCACAAACCCCACTCAAACCAGCTGCCCAGAGCTAAAATTTCAAAATTGTCCCTGTTTGCAGCCTCCAGGGAGCCGCGGACCAGTTCCTGTCCACCCTCTCCGAGAATTATTTGTCCCCAGACGTACGAAGAAAAATCGATGGAGAATAACTGGTGAATTGTAGGGAATTTCGGCGGTGGTGAAGTGGGTACAGCCTTTCTCGCTCCTGCCGGGATGCGCACTTAAGTTTCTGAAATGGTGTGAAATCCCAGGAAAACTGCCCAAAATTCCTCCCTTCGAGTGTATAGCCTGTCGTTCTTTCTATAGGTAAACCGTTAATAGATGATCCTGGGATTTCGAAATATTCAAAGCGAGCGGGTTGGTGGCATTAGGGTAAATAATGACCAAGCAGAGGTTCCAATATTTTCACGTGTTAAGATTTGGATTCTAGCAGAGCCATGATTTTCACCCACCCAAGTAAGTAGCTTTCGGACGGTCACAAGACCATAGACCTTTCTTCCAAATCGTCCTCCTTCTCTGTTTCCGGGAGACCAGATATAGGAAAAATTTGGTGAGGAGCATGGCTGATTTGTTCTCTTACTCAGGAATGCTAATGAGCTGGATACAGGAGCGTCTCCGAAATTGGCCCAATGCTGGGGCACTCATTCCCTGGGTATTGGTTCGACCTTGAGATTAAGACCCCCATTCCTCTGCCAAGTGAGACTGGCTCTGTAGTTGAAAAAATTGCTTTCCTAGAATCTCTGATGAATCAATGATGATGATGATTTTTGGCCCACACTTCTTTATTTTTAAAATGGTTGTTTATTTTTAAAAGACATTACAGGGGAAAGGGTATAGCTCAGTGGTAGAGCGCCTGTCTAGCATGCACAAGGTCCTGGCTTCAATCCCCAGTACCTCCATTAAGAAAGAAAGAAATAAACCTAATTACTGCCCCTACCCCAACAAAAACAAAAAAAGGACATTCTCTTTTATGACAATACAATTATTGACTCAGGAAACTGAATACTGATGCTATACTATGATTGAATGGATAGTCCATGCTCAAATTATGCCAGTTGTCCTAATAATGTCTTTTTGTACATTTTGTTCCAATCTAGAATCCAACCTAGGCTCACACATTGAACTTAGTTGTTCTAGTTCTTTAATTTCCTTTAATCTAAAACAATTCTTCATTGATTCTTTGTCTTTCATAACACTGATATTTTTGAAGACCACAGGCCAGTTGTTCTATTGAACCCCCTTCTTTAAATTTGGGTTTGTCTAATGTTTCCTCATGATTAGATTTAGGTTATTATGTTTGTTTGTTTGTTTGTTTTTTACCAGGAATACCACAGAAGTGATAACGTGTCCTTCTCAGTGAAGGAATCATTCTAGGAGTCGTATGGTATCAGTTTGTCCTCTTACTAGTTGTTTACTTGGTTAGGCTGTTTTCTACCAGATTTCTCCACAGCAAAGATTTAACTTCCACTGGATTATGTTTATTTTCTTAATTGAAGTATAGTTGATTTACAATATTGTGTTAGTGTCAGGTGTATAGCTTAGTGATTCAGATATATATATTTTCATTATAGGCTATTGAATATGGTTCCCTGTGCTGTACAGTAAATCTTCATTGCTCATCTATTTTATGCATAGTAGTTTATATCTGTTAACCCCATACTCCTAATTTATCCTTCCCCCTCTCCCTTTCCTCTTTGGAACCAAGTTTATTTTCTGCGTCTGTGAGTCTGTTTCTGTTTTGTATATAGATTCATTTGTATTATTTTTTAGATTCCACACATATCACTTAATATTTGTCTTTCTCCCCTGGATTATGTGTTTAAACTTAGGCAGGGTGGGGAGGAACTAATCACCTGGAGCTCCAGGATCAGCTCCTTGATGTGTGTCTCTGGCCTCAGCCACTGATAATTAACTCAGAGCTGCACTAGACCCAGGAATAGCTTTTCCTTCCTTCATTCAATATTTATGAAGCAGCTAATACATGTCAGGTACTGTCTAAAGTGCTGAGATATATTAATGAGTGAAACAAAGATTCCTGCTCTCAGCCTTCTGGATAGGACTCCCTTTACAAGGTCTCATCAGTGGCTCTCCTGAAGCATACGAAAACAGGTAGCAGAGAAAACTAACAAACACAGACTTTTGATAAGAACCAAACTTCTACCGTCACCAAGCTATAACGACATGCCTAAATATCCCCATCAAGGTGATGTCAGTGAAGGCCATGGGGACATCTTGGACTTCCACTCCCACTTGGCAATTATAAGGCACCCTTACACTTCCCTGTCGGGCCAGTGTCAGAGGAAGCCTAGTGAAGTGTCAGAACTTCCACCATCAACCACCAGTAACAAGGTCACCCTCACTGTGGTGTCAGCACAAACCATGTGGGGAACTGGGCTCCTTAGCACTCAGAAGTAACCAGGATCTCTCTACCTGCGGTGTTAATGGAGGCCCAGTGGTGGTGTCAATGGAGGTTGGGTATCAACCTCTTGCAGTGATGAGGTAGTGCCCTCTCTTCCCCTGCCAGAGTGGTGTCAGAGAAAGGCAGGTTAAACAGAACTTTTTTTTTTTCTTTAAATGGAGGTCCTGGGGATTGAATCCAGGACCTCCTGCATGCTAAGCACACGCTCTACCACTGAGATATACCCTCTCACCTAAACAGAAGGTTTGAATAAGATTCAGAGTCTCAAAATATAATACAAAAATGTCTCAGTTTCAGTCAAAAATCCTTCATCATACCAAAAAGTGGGAAGTTCTCAGACTGAATGAAAAAAAGGCAATCAACAGATGTTAACACCAAGATGACAAGCATGTTGGAATTATGTAACAGATTTTAAACCAGCCATGACAAAAATGCTTGAACAAACAATTATAAACATGCTTGAAACAAATGAAAATATAGGAAGGCTCAGCAAAGAAATAGGAGCTATAGAGAATCAAATGGACTCGTAAGAAATTAGAAATATAATGACTGAAATAAGCCCAGTGGATGGGCTCAGTGGCAGAAGGGAAGGGACAAAAGAATGACTAAACTGGAAGGCAGAACAAAAGAAATTACCCAATCTGAACAACAAAGAAAACAGACAGGGGGAAAAAATATGAAAAGAACCCCAGGGATCTGTGGGACTATAATGAAAGATTAATGTTCATGTCACCAGAGTCCTAGAAAGGGGGGATGAAAAAGTACTAGAAGAAATAATGGTTAAAAATGCCATAAATTTACTAAAGAAATAAACCTACAGATTCAAGAAGCTGAGCTAATCATGAACAGGATAAACCCAAAGAAGCCCATACTAAGACACATATACCCATGTTAATTAAACTTTGAAAAACTAAAGACAAAGAAAAATTCTTCAAGTAGCCAAAGAAAAACTACATCTTATCTGTAGGGGAGAAAAACAGTAACTGAATTTTTTTCATCAGAATCTATGGAAATCAAAAGGAAGTGGCACAATATTTTTCAGGTGCTGACAAAAAGAACTGTCAACCCAGAATACTATACTCTGCAAAAATATCCTTCAGAAATGAAGGGGAAATCAAGATAATTTCAGATGAAGGAAAATCAGGAGACTGTCACCAGGAGAGCTACCCTAGAAGAATGGCTATAACAAGTTATCTAAACAGAAAGAAAATGACTTTAAAAAAAAACCTTAGAGCATCAGGAAGGAAAACAGAACATGGTAAGCAAAAAATACGGGTATATGTAATAGAATTTCCTTCTCCTCCTGAGTTGAAATGAAAATAAAAGGACGGAAAAAGATACACATCATGGAAACATCAATCAAAGGAAAGGAGGGGCAGTTTATTCTTTTGCTGGCTGTCTAGATTTAAGAAAGTGTTGAATGATGCAGATTAAACTTTAAAATGTGTCACATCTATAGCTGTTATATTGTGGACAGTACAAAAATGAGGAAATCTTTTTCCAGTAGTTGAAAACTATTACTGGCTTTAGCAAAGAAGTCCCCTCACATCATTGACTTGAGGGACATATGCAGTGCTGAAGCTCAGAGAGGTTTCAGTTGTTTCAATATCATTTGTAGGTGGTGGAAAATGCTGGAATGAAAGGCTTGCTTTCCCCTCTTCTTTCACATCCTTCTCTGTTGTGAGCTCAAGGAGCTGCGTTCACAAAAGATATGTATCCTCTGTGTTTCAGTCGTGATGGTCAAACTAGATTTTGATCTACTGGAGGTCAAAACCTCTATGTTCTCCACATCACTTAGAATGTAATATATCCTTTATTCAACAGAAAATGCTAGTTCTGGGGGTGGGGATCAGGAAGGGTCTGCAGGCCACCCACTTCCAGTCAGAGGCTTGGTTAGATAGCCAGGGTGGGAGTGAAACAGAGACAACTCACCTCACACATTCCAAGCTCTTGGATGTTCCAGTGACCTCAACTGGTACTAAGAGAAGCAATTTCAATATTAGGCTAAAGCTAGTTAGAAATCAAAATGACTTTAAAAAGCAAAACATAAGAGCTTATGAATTCAGTAAAAAAAAATACATACATTTACAGCTACCCCTGTGTACTTTTTCATTGTATTAACTGACATTTCATTGCATTTAACAAAAGTAATCACAGGTAAACTTCTTGTTGATGTTTATTTTTACATTCTCAACTTTTCCAGCATACATGATCTTCGTAACAACTTTTCTATGTGGTATCTCTGATGTTCTTTAAATAATGAAGTTCACAGAACATTTTATCTCAGTTAAGAAAAGAATTCTGGATTCTACTTGAAGTTGTCACCAAACATCTGGGCAAGGAGTCATTTTAGTGGGATTCTCTGGTGCTTCATCAGGGCTGAGCTTCCACTGTGGGCTCTACCTCATTCACCCTGTTGCTGGGGCCTGGCACAATGTGGCCTCTCTGATGCTGGATCAGCGTGGCTCTCTGCCTGTAGGCCTTCCCACACTCTTCACATTTATAGGATTTTTCCTCAGAGTGGACTCTCTTATGCTTATTAAGATTTGACTTACAGCTGAAGGCTTGCCCACATTCAGAACATTCAAAAGGTTTCTCTCCTGTGTGGATTGTAAGATGATGACTAAGACCTGTCTTCTGACTGAAGGCTTTGCCACACTCTTTACATTGGTAAGGCTTCTCCTTATTGTGAATCCCCTGATGTTCAATGAGATGCCCTCCCCTCGTGAAGGCCTTGCCACACTCAGGACACTGGTAGGTCTTATCCCCAGTGTGGAATCTTCTGTGGTTCCTCAGGCCAGTTACCTGAGTAAAGGTCTTCCCACACTCATCACACGTATACTTTCTTGGTTTGGGAGGGTCCCCGTGCTTCCCTCCTAACTTGTGTTTATTAAGGCCTGAGTGCTGACTGAAGGCATCACCACACTCTTCACATTTATAGGGCTTCTCCCCAGTGTGGCTTCTCTGATGTATGATCAGGGTTGAGTTCACTCTAAAGGTTTTTCCACACTCCACACATTCATAGGGCTTTTCCCCTGAGTGAATTCTGTGATGGATTATAAGTTCTGAGCTCCGGCTAAAGGCTCGTCCACATACAGGACTTTCAAAAGGCTTCTCTCCAGTGTGGATTCTTCGGTGTTGGTTAAGGCCTGCATACTGAGTGAAGGCTTTCCCACATACTTTACATTCATAGAGTTTTCTTTACTGTGAATTTGCTGATGCTCAGTAAGATTTGAACGCTGCCTGAAGGTTTTCCCACATTTATCACATTCATAAGGTTTCTCTTTGCTGTGGAACTGCTTGTGTGCAGCGAGGTCTGTACCGTGGCAGAAGGCTTTCCCACAGTATACACATTCAAATGGTTCCCTTCCAGCCTGGAGACTCTGATGCTTTGTAAGGACCGATCTCTGACTAAAACATCTGCCACATTTATTACATTGATGGGGCTTTTCTCCAGTGTGGATTTTGAGATGTTGCAAAAGGCCTGCTTTCTGACTGAAGTCTTTGCCACACCTTTTACAGTTATAAGGCTCTTCCTTGCTATGAAGCCCCCGATGCTGCGTAAGTTCTGCATGTCTGATGAAAGCCTTTCCACATTCTGTATCCGGGTACAGTTTCACCCCAGAGTGGCTCCTCCTATGCATCTGAAGGCCTCTTATCCAGGTGAAGGTTTTCTTACATTCATCACATTCATATGTTTTTTCACTTGTGGCATCCCCATCCTGCATTTCCAAACTTCCACTAGGCTCATGGTCTCCTCTGTATTTGGCATGCTGAGACATAGTTTCAAGATGTCCACCAGACCCCTCCCTATATGGTTCTGTTCCTTCCCAAGGTTCCTGCTTCACGTCAAATGTCAAGTTCTCAGTCCTCACACCACCATCTGAAACAACAGACCAGACAACCAGAGGAGAAAAGGCAACTCAAAAATAATTTAAGAGACAGACAGCTAGAAGGGTTAGTCTTTATTTTAGATTTAACAGAGGATCTTATATCTTTATTTAGTGTCAGAGGTTCAGAGAAATATGTCAGTCAAGTAGAAGCAGTGGGAATAATACAAGTGTGGGAGTAAAAAAGAATAAAGCACGGCTGAGTTCCCACAAGAATGTGGGAAAGTAGACAGGATGTCACTTCCAAGATTACATAAGACTGTAAGTTCCACCTTCCATAAGACTTTCTCTACTGACACTCCCTTGCTGGCTTGCTGGCTCTGATGAAGAAAGCCACCATATGGAGAAGCCTATGTGGCAAAGAACCGAAGGTAGGTTCTGGCCAGTAGCCAGCAAGGAACTGAGGCCCTCTGTCTAACCAATAGAGAACTGCATCCTGCCAACATCTAAGAAGGGTTGGAAGTGGATTCCCCCCCAGATACAACAGATGAGACCCCATCCCTGGCATCTTGACTGTAACCTTTTAAGAGACCCAAAAGTGGAAGGCCCCTGCTAACTCATAACCAAACTCTTGACTCATAGAAACTATGTGATAATAAACGTGTGTCGTTTAGTTGCTAACTTTGTGGTAATTTGTTAAGCTGCAACTGGCAACTAATATACCACTACTACAAAAATACAAAGCTTCCTAACTATAAGAATTAAAACAATTAAAAAGAGAGGAGGAGGGAAAACAAACCACACATTGAAAATCATATGCATGTACACGTATATCCATCCATACATTAACACATACGGTTGTGTATATGTGTGTATATGTTTATACTTTTATATTTGTGTATATATATGACATGTAAAACAAAAAACATACAAAAATTATGTTAAGATCAAATATAACTGCCCTGTCATATCAATAAATGCAAATGGCTTAAAATTTATCTATTAAAAGAAAAAAAACTAGATCTGAGCACAGAGCAAAACCAACTCTACTATATATACAAGAGATATATCTAAAATAAAATGATTGAAAAAAGTTATGAATAAAGGATGAACAAGAGTAAATTAACCAAATGCAAATGAAAGAAGGCATCATGATCTCAATTTCTGAAAAAAAGGTGAAATTCAGGCCAAAACCACAAAATGAGACAGAGTACTTTGTAATGTTAAAATAAAGAATACAACTTACAGTGATGATTTAATAGATATGAATAATTACGCAGAAAATAACAAACTTTCCTAGAGTAAAAATTACAGATGACATAATGAGACAAAACAAATAGTAGACTTCAATTGTTCTCTCTGTCTCTCTAGGAAGGGTATAGCTCAGTGGTAGAGTGTGCACTTAGTATGCACAAGGTCCTGGGTTCAATCCCCAGTACCTACATTAAAAAAAAAAAAAGGCACATTTTCCCTACACACTAAGAGGGAAAAAAAAACCACCAAATGGACAAATAAATAAATAAACATACAAAAGGTTTACAAAATGAAATCACTAAATTAAATCTCATAGATAATATGTATATTAAGTTCTGTATCCTGAAAATAGAACATCTTTGCACATGTGCAGTGATCATTAATGAAAACTTACTATTTTGGGGAATCACACGAAAGCCACAATAAATTCTAAAAGGTGTAAATAACACAAACATTCTCCGATCACAATGCAATAAATCTAAAATCAATAACAAAATCAGAAAACAAGCAAGCCCTTCCATCTAAAAACTTTTAAAACTTCCAAAAAACTATTGGTTCAAAGGCAAAATACAAACATACACTTCAGATTTCCTAGAAAATAACAAACACACTACATTTCAAAACATCTGGGACTCATCTAAACCAGTGTTCAATGAAATATTTACAGCATCAAACATTTATATCAGTAATAGATATACAGATTCAGCTCAAAAGTTAAAAAACAAAAAGGACAACTAATTAACCAAGATAATCTGCTCATTTAGACATACTTTATTGGCTTTTCTCCTTTCTGTGTCTCATTCCCCCCTATGCTTCCTGGGATAAATAAACAAGGAGAACACAAGGAAGGAATTAACAAAGAGAAATGCAAAAACAAAACACAATATAGAAAAATGACGGAACATTGTGGTGGTACAGCAGAACTGAATACATCAATATAAACTCCTATTTTTTTAGGGAAAAAAATGTACATCTAGCTCTACAGATAAAATGTCCCATAAGCACTATTGCCCTAGTGATAAAGAACACCCCTAGCACCCAGATTTTACACCTCAATAGTATTCTCCATAAAAAGGAACCAAGGCTCCTTCAGAAAGGGTTGATTCCAGATCTGGGTATAGGGGAAGTATAAGGTGAGCCAGGGACAATTAATTTTGTTCAGAAAACAAGGATCAAAAATTAATAGGGTCATGGCAAAAAGAGACAGGAGCAAGAGGGAAGACATCCACACAGGGCAAAAACATGTCAGTCTGAGCATTAAAAGGAGAAATAAAAGGGAGGGAGGGCATAGCTCAGTGGTAGAGTGCACGCTTAGCACACACGAGGTCCCAGGTTCAATCCCCAGGACCTCCATTAAAATAAATAAATAAATAAACCTAATTACTTCTCCAACAAAAACGAACATACAAACAAACAGAGTAATAACTGTGTTGGATTTAAAACACACTGACTCAATGAAAATTCCTAAGTCCACAATGATTCTAACACAGAGATAGCCCTAAAAAATCATATCACTATTTAAGGTGCTTATTCAATGAGTCCCTGAATTTGAAAATTGATAAATAAAGGAGTAAAACTAAGCCATCAAACGTGACAGCATAGTATGAAGTGACCAAATAGATGATTTGATGATTTCTTTACTATAAAGAAGAATGCCAGTTAATAACATAGTATTATAAAATCATTCTGCAACCCTTAATAAATAAAATGGTTGATTCATTCAAGAATTCTCAAACATTTTGTATTTTGTTGATGGGAAACAGGTCATTCGCATGGAGCCAAAGTGACACTACACCATGACAAGGGAAAAAATTAGCTGTTCAATGGATGATCACACCATCACCATCCTATGCCAGTGATTTAACAGTGGGTAACCCTAGGTATTAATGTCTACTATTACTTAATTCTAGCCAAAATGTTGAACTTGAATCTTTTAAGACTTTAAGGCTTTACATCTAATTTCCAGTTTATGGAAATACAGGGTACATGGGCAGCAAAGTAAATGATACAGTGAGGAAGCAGCCAGAAAACTCCAAAGGTTAGGAAACTGGCCTGGGCTCAGCAAAAAGTCTGGGCTGTGGGGGTAAAATGGGAGAAGGAAACTGTTCAAAGTAAGAAAGAATCAAAAGGCATAACAACCAGATGTATTATGTAGCCCTGGATTCTATTCTGGTTTGCACAAATCAGCTTTAAAGACAGTTTGGAAAAAATGGGCCAATTTGAATTTGGATTGAGTTTAGATAACATTAAAATGTACTGACAAGGAAAAGGGAAGATTATTAACAGAACAAAACAGATTATAAAATAGCACATAGAAATGACCCTTTTTGATTAGCAGATACAAACTACTATATGTAAAATAGATAAACAGAAAAGTCCTACTGTATAGCACAGGGAACTGTAGTCAAGAAAAAAAAGAAAATGTATGTATGTATTGATATGTATATGTATGTATGATATGTATATTGATGTGTATATGTATATATATATATATGAGTGTGTATAACTGAATCACTATGCTGTACACCAGGAACTAACACTACATTGTAAGCCAACTATACTTCAGTTAAAAAGTTATGAACCCTTTTTGGTAAAATGTACATGTGTATGTGTGTATGCACATATGTGCACATATAAAAGATATACAGATAAAAATAAGTCATTAATCATAACCTCTGGGAGATAAAATATCATGCTTTATTTTCTTATTTTGTGATTCTGTATTTTCTAACTTTCCTCAATGCATATATACTTCTCTGGTAATAATAAGAGGTAACTTTCAAAAAAGTCAGTACAGTTTTACAACGTTAATGTCTCATCACCATCTAAATAAGGTCAGCATCAAAATACTTGACAGTAACATTTGCTATAGACGATCTGCAGAAAATTCAATGACATATATTTAAAAGCAACATATTAAGGCTGTTCTGAGATGAATTATCACCTTTTAATCATTATTACCTAAAGTGTCACCTTTGTCAGATTCTTTAACAACTCTCATTACAAGGAATTACATGTCACACTCCATAAAGAAACCAATGAGGAATTCATTTTGGTCCAAATTCCCTGGAGAAATTCTTGCCTCACCTCTTTCTTCTGATGACTGGGGCTCAGGTCCTTCACCCTTGAACTAGATTGCTGGAGGCTGAACCCAGGTACATGAAGAGTCTTCATCTAGTGTCTGAAGGGTCATTGTCTGCAAAAGGATTTTCCATTTCAGAGCACAGGCTGAAACCTAGAGACAAGCAGCACCCATTAAGCCTGTAAGGATATCAAGAGTTTAACAGAGACTAAATCTTAAGGAGGAGGACCCAAGAAATATCCCCCCAGAGACAATGTCAGGCAGAAGAGAGAAACCAGGGCCCAGGGCACTGAGAAGCTGCCAGAAAGGTAAGCAGAACAAAATTTGATCAAATCTTGTTTCTGTCACTTCATTTACTGGCTATGTGTCCTTGCTGTGAACTTAAGTTTCCATGTGTGATACCACCTACTTTGTTGCTGTGAATGTTGAGTGACCTATAAAGTAAGGACCATGATGCTTATAAAATGCCTTCAGTATCTTTACTCACTATCCCTGAATCTGCTATTTCTCACCTTTCCCCTCCTTACAGGACTTGCTTAGCAAGAAGCTCAGTTCCCTGCTGAATGCTGGGTTTCCCCACTATTCTCTCACAGCCTCCACACTTGAGAAAGTTTTGCTCTTAGATTCTCCACAACATCAGACTAGTCTCCTCCTATGTGGACATTTCTCTTTCTTGCCAGATTCTCCAGCATGGTCACTGCCTCCTCCCCGCTCTCTGGAAGATGTTCCCACACCTGAGACAGGAGCTCCTGGGGCAGGATGGAATTGCTCCAACACCAGCAGCTCCAGGATCTGTTCCTTGGTGTGCATCTCTGGCCTGAGACACTGATGGCAGAGATCCCGGAGCTGGCTCAGGGCCAGATGGATCCGGGGGAATCCTGGTAGCAGAAGTGTCTAAACTGCTGCCTGAAGATCTCCCAGGTGGAAGGCTGGTTCTTTGGAAGGCTAAGACCCTGATTTCTGGGGTGGTCCTCCTCCAACTCCACTTTCACCATCACAGGCCCTTGCAGACCCCATGGGGCTTGGAATGGCTGGCCAGCAGACTTTCTTGTGTCCACAGCCATCATATCTTCTGCTAGAATTTCAAATGGAGGCTTTTGAGGGCACCCTGGGGAATAAGAATTTTAAGTGATAAACAGATACATAGCAAATACTTCAAGAACCCACACAAGAATGAAGACCTGTAACCACGGTAACTAATTTTATTCATTCATTAAACCCACATTTATTTAGAGGCCTATCTTGTACGAAAACTGTTCTAGGTGTTTAAAACGCATTCGTGAACAAAGCAAAGAGATTCCTGTTATCATGGAACGTCCATTCCGGTTGTAGCGATCAATAAACACAATAAATATGAAAAGTGCATAATGTGTTATAGAGATAAGTAAAGTTGCGTAACTGCAGGAACGGGGAGGGCGGTGCAGAATGACGACTTGCGCCTAAGGGAGGAAGACTCCTCCAAATTCGGCATTAGATACGTGTATGTGGCCCCTAGCTTAAAGCAGAATTTTCAACTTACCACTTGGCACAGAGTTTTTCCATACTTGACCACAAACGACCCAACCCGTGGGAGAGGAAAAGTTACGAATCACAGCCAGAAAATTATTCATGTGTTCGTGTCAATCTGGCAAAATGGAGGGCAAAATCCCACTCCGATTCCCCTGGGCTTGGAGGCCCAGGTCTCGTCAGAGCGTCAAAGTCCAGTTCCCAAGAAGGGGCTCCCCAATCTCGGGACAAGGTCCCGTCTGGGAGGCCTTGGGGCCGGCCTTCCCGGAGCCTCCAAGACAGACAGACGCCTGCTCCCAGCAGCGCAGCCCCGAGCCTCTCCGGGCACCGGGCGTCCCCCGCCGGAACCAGGGCCGATGCTGGCTGCTCCACGCGGCTCCGCACGTCCAGGGCCTCGCAGGGCCGAACCCAAGACCCAGGCGTTGGACGCCCCGGGACACTCACCCGGCAGGGGCGCAGGACCGCGACTTCGGTACCCGAAGCTCAGGCGCGCGGCCAGCTTCCGGCGTCTCCCGGAGGTCACGCCCCCCTGCCTCCGCCCGCGTGCCCAGCATCTCCTGGTAACCCCGTCGGGCCGGTGCGCCGCTTGTTCAGTTCCCACGGTTCGGGAGGAAGGCCGGTGGAAGCGGCCGCTCTGCGGTGACAGGTAATACTAAGCCCAATTCCTCGATCTCTGAAATTTAAAAAAAAAAAGTTTCAGACACTTGCTTCTTGCGAACCCTGCAGGATCTCTTAACTGAAAATGTGTTATTGGAGGAGTGCTTGATAACAAGAGATACAAAAATGATTGCTCGCTTCCGTGTAGGGTGCTTCGCGGCCAGCATCGCTAACCTGTTTGTCTCTCCTCTGCCAGTCTTGTGGGTGATTTCATCTCCCCTGTCCTATGCCCAGAACCCTCTCCCCTCAAGGAACACGGTAGCTAGACTTTAGACTCTGTCAGTGTAACTTTCCCCAGATTGTTGTTGGTATTGTTTCAAATGGTGGAAGAAAGGCTTGTTCTCTCCTCCCTACTTTGCCCGTTCCCACCAAAGTTTTGAGGGCTTCAACGAAAGAAGGTAGGTGTTAAGTTTCTGTTTCCTGTGCTTATTTAGCCTAATGCCCCCACTATCAGCTTTAAATGTCAGAAGCAAGGATCTTGTATACTGTCCTGTAAATATCGTAAGATTTCTCGTCTTAAAAAAAAATTGGAAGTGTGTTTTTATGTTTGTTAATCTTCTCAGACCTCTTTTCCCAAGGTCCTACCTAATGAAATTCCATTGCTTAGCCTGGATTGTGCTGACCTGCTAATTAACAAGCATCAGAGATAAAAGCATTTCTTGTATTAGCATGTACTGTTTCCAGTTTCACTATGTGCAAGCCCTCCTGCTCCTAGGAGTCAAGAGTTACACCAAACTTTAGACATCTTGGGTTGTGATGGCTCACCACAAAATTCACTTGACTTTGGGTACAGAGTCAAGGTGAAGACTCTCCTGGGCCCTGGGGGATAAGAACGTATTGTAAACAACACAATTACCTGGGCAGCCAAGCACTTACATAAGCTCGTGAACTTTAGAAAATAAAACAGCAGTAACAAACCACGCCAAACGGTTTAGGAACAAATTGTTGCCAAGGCTGCGGAGACAGGCCTTCGTAGGGCAGCAGAAGCCGGAGTAACCCAGTCCATCACTCTTCCCGCGCCTGCGTCGTAACACCCGGCACTCTGGAGGTCTCCCGGGGGTGAGGGCGCACCTGGCAGCCAGGGCTGGGCAAGGAAAGCAGGGGGTCGCCTCCACACTCCCCAGCTTTTCTACAATCCATTCTGGAGCCAGGAGTCTTCACCCCGAGCCGGAAAACAGCCGGCTCTTCTCTGGAGAGTAGCGGGAAAAGCACCGGAACGCGAGCGGACACGTGCACACATGTACACACCTGGACGAGTCTCCTAGGATCTCGGTCCCTGAGACTCTACTTCCGGTTTGTATAGGAACTTCGGAGGTTTGGGCT